CTCTAACAATTCCAACCAAACCTTTTTCCTGCAGTCGTTTAAGTTCTTCTTCTGACAGTGGTTTAGTTTCAGGTTGTTTACCTAATAGTGCTTCAGTAACTGGCTTGAAAATTGTAGCTGTTGCTTCTGTAGCAGTTACTTGCCCACGTCGTGCTTCTTGTACTTTTTGCTTAAGTGATGCCTGAGATTGAGCAAGTTTTTTTGATCTTCTATGTGTTGTCTGTATCTTGCTCGTTTGTCCATTATTATAATTATAAATTTTATAAAATTGAAACGCTTTACTGTAAGTAAGTGTCAATACAACAGCGAAACATTTTAGTTGGATCATTTGTAAGTTTATCAAACAAGAAAAAGTTAAATTTATCTTTTGTAGCATTACGGTAAAGTTCAATAAACTTATCTTTTGTCACGCCACCGCATTGCTCGCTTGCAATATTTCTAACGTCAACATTATCCAATCCTGGAAATAATATAAAACAACCCGTATTTCGCCTAATAAATCTATCAACATTATAAAATCCTTGAGCGAGATAAACAGAATTACACTGTTTGTTACGTGACAGTGAGAAATATGATCTTATTTTGTTCATCTCCATGTTATTTAGAGGAATATCGTCAAAAACTACTATCTTATGTTCATCTGCATCAAGTTGATTAACTGGAATGAGATCTTCTGGCTGCCTAATTATAAAAAAATCTTCACCAGCTTCAAGATCATCACGAAGCTTGTTATTATATTCGCTTAATAACTCATACTTATCTTGCTGTGGATTGATTGTGTAAATATAAACTCTGTCGTAGTTAAAATTATCACCAAGAAGAAAATTCATAAGCAAATTTGTTTTCCTCGATCCAGTTCGCCCAACAATAAGATAATGACAATCAGGAAGTTCATTGTTATGTTTATGCTTCACTAGTCTCTCTGTATCAAAGTTTAATATCAACGATTTTGCCATTTTGTATAATATTAAACTAGTGTTGATAATTTTATCTAAGACAGTAAATAATGAGCTACTATACAAAATTTGGAACACTATAAGGAGATTTATCCACAGGTGACTTATCCAAATATGCAACTCTTGATCAGCTCAAAAATGAAATCAATAATTTACTAAATCTTACCAGTGTAGATCCAGATGAAGTCGTCATTTTCCAGGACAAAGAAGGACGATTAAAAACGAGTGATGTAAAACTGCCAGATGTAGTTGTACGAAATCCAAGTGGGAATATTGTTATGAAACAAAACAAGATTACAGATCTTGGAAACCCAACTGAGGATGGGGATGCTGTCACTAAAAAATACGTCAATGATTGGGACGCTTCAATTAATAATGAAATCACAGCGCTCAAAACTGATTTTACCAGTCACGTGAACACATTTTTAAGTTTTCGCAGAAACATAAACAAAATTAGAGATGAATTTTTTGGAAATCCATCAAATGTTAGCATTACACTCGCTAATATTAACACAAATCTCAATGATATTAACACAAAACTCAATGATATTATTAGTGGAATTCCTAATATTGTTGAGAAAACGAGTATGGTTAAAATTCCTCACAAACAGATTAAAAATATTGTGTATACTGTTGCATCTGGTTATAGTGGATGGACATCACAAAACAAATCTATCAAATATATTGCAGAAGTTACCGGTGTGAATAGATTGTCAGTGTTTAGCAGTGTAAAGTTTAAAATATTTACCACATATTCATGGCGTTATTCAGATGATGACATATTTGGAATATTATCTGTAATATTAAAAAAAAATTCTGAGGAGGAATTTACACTTGAACCAACTGATAAAAATTTTGTAGGTCCTTATCGGTGGTGTTTGGAATTTGTAGCTGATTTATCATAACTATGTAAACAAATATTATAATGAAAAGAAGTATAGTTGATTTTAATCACATTTCAAAAGATATTCCAGAACAGGATGTGGACGCACTAATACAATACTATAAATATTATCATAAAAAAAAACTTTGGTGTGTTAAAAAATGTTACAAATACTACAACAAGATCCTTAGAGTAATATCATATCTACCTTTGTTAATGACCAGTTCTGGTATAATTTCAAGTGGGGTATTATTAAATCCATTTTTGTTAATTATATCTGGTATTGGTGTTTCACTGACAGCGGCGTGTAAAAAAGTAGAACCAAGACTTTTGATAAAAAAGCACGGATGTTTAACGTCAATTAAAACTTACAAGAAACTACTTGATCAGATCCGGTCTTACCTACGAGGAGTTAAATATAATATGGATGATTTATTACGTGAATTTCGTATTATTGACAATATGTTAACAGATATTCTACCAATGAGGGTTAGCAAGTATGAAAAAAATATCACAAAAAATATGAGTAACATAAAATTTTATCTAAACTTAAGATATAATATAACTAAAATAATATCATTTTCATTTTAATGCTAGTTTAATTTCCGCCTTGTTAACTGAAACGTTCTAATGCACAGTTTAATTTTCATACTGTTATCTGATAAAAAAAATTTGTGGTAAAATCTATTTGCCGTCTTTAGAATAATCATATTCCACACATACGCTGTTCTAACAAATTCGTCACTTCTGTTGACAGAGCTTATCGCATTCCAACACCTGTTGTTTTGTCTGGTTACAAAATATCTGTCTACATAGTAGTAGTATAGGAAAATGAGGGTTTGGCGGGGGTGGGGGAGGAGGTGTGGGAGGGGGTGGTGAGCCAAAACCCTAATTTCCCTATTTTGGAAACCCTCATTTAATTTATACTTGTTTGGAGGTAAAAAAAATAAAGTGAGCCAAAACTCTCATTTCCCTATACTACTGCCAAAACTTTGAAGTAATATTGTAATCATAGAAGAGATTTCAATACTTTTGTTCCCACTCTTACCGAAATTGCATTTGTCGTGACATCGTCTAATATATTATTTTCCCCCAAAATGTTATTAGTGACAATTACTTTATTAACTAATTTTTAAAAAAAGACATAAACTTTTATGCTTTTATACAAAGTTTCGCCCTGCTATAAATCTCAGACCACTCCTCACGACATATATTTCTATTTAAATTTTTGTATCCATGGTTTTTTTTGTTTTTGTTTTGTTTTTGCCTCGCAATGTGTGAACTCTTGATTTTTTTTTAACTCTTTGTAAACAGACGTTTAGAAGTTTTATTTTTACAAGTTTATTATTGTATTCTCCTGTTTATCAAAGACGTTGTGAGCCAAAAGGTTTTTTTTTTTCTTCTTTTCATGATCTTGTAATTTTTATATTAAGCAATGATCTTTCCAAAATTGTGTCGCTTCCAGTTTTATCATTTCGTAAGTTATTAATTTAAGATGATCATAAACTAAATCGTTAAGAACTTCAATGCCAGCTTCTTTCCAGGATTTTTATTGATAGAGAACTATAGGTAGAAAAAAATTTATATAAAAAATAATAGACTCTCCGGAATAAATATTCATTTGGTCTTTCTCCAGTATGACTGATTATTAAAGGAGAAAAAAAAATTGATAACTCTAGCTGCAATAGCAACAGAATCAATATTAAAGTAAATATTTAGAAGTCATTATATATATATATATATATATATATATATATATATATATATATATATATATATATATATATATATATATATATATATATATATATATATATACTGTCTTTGTTTTCCTTTTGATAGACATGTAATGACTTCTTGAGATTGAACATATAAAAGTTTTCCTATAGTATATCCATGATTGATTGATCTGCATATAAAACCCAAAATAGTCTCCTAAAAGAATTTATAGAACTCTGTAGTAAATCCACCTGAGCCAGAATTTTTCCTATTTTCCATCTATATTAAGGACATATCATATTCATTAATTGCAAGTCGACACTCTCATAGTTCTCTTTCCTCTTGACTAGGTTTATTATTGTGATTTTTTAAAAATATAATCTATTTTGAGTTTCTTGAAAATCCTTAAAATCAAGCTGATCAATTCTGCATTTGTACAATCCGTATAAATGTTTTTTTGGGCTTCTATGATATATATATATATATATATATATATATATATATATATATATATATATATATATATATATATATATATATATATATATATATATATATATATATATATATATATGGTCGAATATATTTGTTTCATCGTCTAAAATATTTTCCATAAATGTCTTATTGACATAATGGCTTTATTTAAAGAGTTTAAAACGCATTTCGTACACATTTTTCTTCTCCCAATTCGTACCCTCTAGTTGTGGATTTTAACATAAATTCCTCCAATACATAGATTCCTCCAATTCTGATTTCCTTTTTTTTCCTAAACTTTAAAAGTTTCCGCATCTATGTACTCCGACAATATCCTATTAAGTGTTAACATTTCCTATTAAATTTTCTTTAATTTTCATTTTCTCATTTATTTTCCTAATAGAATAATTTAAAGTCTCGGATTTTTATTTTCATTTAAATATTTCAAAGAACATTTGATCTTTACAGAAAGGAGAAACATGGAGAGTCCTCTCCCCCCACGTAATATTCATTTACATTGTTTTTATACACTGACCAAGTTAATTTAATTATTATTCCTCCACAGTTGAGTTTTCAGTTTCGAATATCCTTTTCCACTTGAACACTTTTAAAACGTCACACTCGAATGCATTCGTGTGTGGGTGTGTGAGTGTACAAGAGAGAGAGAGAGAGAGAGAGAGAGAGAGAGAGAGAGAGAGAGAGAGAGAGAGAGAGAGAGAGAGAGAGAGAGAGAGAGAGAGAGAGAGATTTAATGTAGTTTACAATTTTTCAGTCATATCGCTACGATGTCTGCAGTATGGCAGTTTATAATGATGTCTAGCACTGGGTCATCATGCTGCAGACATGTAGCATGATGTCCCATTGAGTCACATTATCCTGACACCAGGCCGACCAGTTATAACACCAACCTCTTAATACCGAGAGCCATCCGAGGCAGCTTTAAGTACCACTTTTAAAGGTATTTGATATGACTCGACCGAGGTTCGAACCCACAACTTCCCGCGTCCGAGGCGGACGCTCTAACCACTAGGCCACCTGAGCGGTAAAAGCAATATTCGACAAAATATAGCTGAATGAGAAATCCTATTCCCTTGTAAAAAAATGCTTCAGCTTTTTACATACAAATGTCATTAACTATACGAAGGTGGTCCAATTTGCTTTGTTTGACCTTGTAGATCTTACTTCTTGTTAAAAAAAGACGTGTATGATTCATGGGTGTAATATGGGATATAGAATATACAGCTTGGCCTTCTTTCAGATGTGCACCTGTCATAAAACTCTACGCTTGGTTATTTTCACTTTGGACTTTCAGGCATATTGTAAACAAAAGAGTCGATAATGTTTTTACATTTTATATACCTATTTGGTAATTCATTAATTGCACTTGTAGAAGCTGTTATTCTATGGTCGAGCAATATTCGTTTTCCCTATTTTAATAACTGCTAAAAATAGTGTAAATTAGACATTCATATTGATTTTTGGGGCACATAGGAGCAGTCATTTCGGTTAGCTGTGTACTCGGTACATGTACAATTTCCATATGTAAAATATCCAAAGAAAGTTAAGAAGCAGTGCATAAAATAAACATAGAGGTATTCCAGCATTCTCTCCATCGTGCATGTTGCAAATACAAACAACTTTGCCTTACACGTGTCACTCTCTCGTTAGTTCATAATATCTATAGAGTTAGAGGATGTTCAGTTTGGAAGCAAAAGTCAATCGATGTTTTCTCGGTTTTTCATTTAAAACGCAATAGCTCAGTGCAACCCCGCTTTGGTCTTAAACTAAATAACAGAAAGAACAGAAACCAAAAGGTTTTCGCATCTCGATCATTCTACGTGCATAAATATGGTTAGGTCTTGAACTCAAATAGAAGTGAACATCATTAAAAAAGACAACAACAAAAAAAAAAAAAAAACAGGCTCCCCAATTCGCTACCCTCAATCACGGACAAAAGTCAAGAACACAATATATATATATATATATATATATATATATATATATATATATATATATATATATATATATATATATATATATATATATATATATATATATATAATACCACTCCTCATATGGAAAAAGAGATGTATCCAATAAAGCTTTCTTTTATATATTAATCAAATATACGTATGATACTATAATAACTTAAAATTACACAACAAGATGTCTTATAAATGACACAACCTATACACAAAACAATACTGCTTTACTCGTGACAGTGCATCTGCAATCAGATTATCTTTTCCATTCATATGTCTAATGTCCATGCTGTATTCCTGCAACATCAATCTCTGCATCAGCAATCTCTGATATTTGTCACTCATTTTGTTAATAAAACTAAGGGGATCTCTGAGTACTTTAATCAGAGAAGGAGCTGAACTAATTAATATGCACTTCAAAGCGTTACAAAGCCAATATCAAAACCACATATTCTTTCTCGATTGTGGAATAATTTCTCTGGTTCATGTTTAATTTTGTAGGAAAATAGCACATTGATTGATACACACCACTTTTATCTTCTTGAATAAATAATCCACAACCACCCACATCACTCGCATCCACATACAATTTAAATAATTGGCTGAAATCCGGAGCTGAAAGAGGAACTTCTAGTATTGCAAATCACAAATAATCCTAAATGTTCTATCACAAGTCTAAATGTACAGTGTTCCGAAAGAATTGCAATATTGAATATGTTGACGTACCAATAATCTCGAATAGGGTTATGTATCAATAGTCTTGATGTATCATAATGATATAATCCAGAATGTATGTGAATGAATTCACAATTCACAATTAATGGTATAGTTCAAATGGCAAAGTGCACTTTGTAATTCAAACACATAATTTTAAATAAATGATTCTTCTTAAATTATATCTGAACACAACTCAAAATTATTCCAAAGACTAATCTTAAGTAGGGAATGAATAATTTTGTTGTCCTCGATCCTATATAAAACCCAAGAAACAATAAAATGACCAGGATGTGGATCACAAGTTCTTTTCCAGAACATTCTAAGTTTCTAATAAAAGAAAACAACCTTGAATTCAAATATCAGTGCACAACTTATTTATAACTCAGAAACATGATGAAAAAAGAAGATTCAGCAGCGTTTTTCCAAGTTTTTTTTCTATAATTCCTAAACCTTTCTTAATATTCTTCAGGCACTAACTCAAAAATCTTCAATATTCCTTAATCACATCACAATTAGTACTTTTTGTTGTACTCACAGTAAAGAGCAGACTTCTTGAGCTTTGCCAATGAGTACACTTTGTAATAACAATGTCCAAAGCTCTCTCGACAGTTTAAAGTATTCAGCCGTATTCTCTGGAGAAAATATTTATTTACATCTTTTATAGATAAATTTTGATATTTCTGAAATGTTTTAAAGAAATTCAGATCCTAGTCAAGCCCTCAATTTCTCTTATGACTTTTATGTTCTTAAACATCATAACAGAAAGAAAAATGAAAGAAATAAATTCGAATAAAATTTTACAATTTAATTCTCTAGAATACAAAGTGAAAATTGATAAGACACTTACAGTTTTGGAAAGTAAGTCCCAAATAATCCTAATCACAAGTCCCAAAGTATAGAATGTTCCAAATGAATTACAATAGTTCTGAATGTCTTGATGTATCACAATGTCATAATCTAGAATGTCCTTGAATGATTTTGCAATAACCCCAAAGAAGTGTTTCAGTCCAACAACTAAACGAGTCCTTTGTACTTCCAATGAATAATCTCAATAAATAACTTCTCTTCAAATTATATTGAACACAACAATGCAACTACACAATCTGATCATAGATTTCCAAAAGGCAGATACAAATGAGGAATGAATAATTGTATACCCAATTCCCTATTTATACAGGCTGTCACCTGACCTATGATACAACAATTGTTCTAGAAAATAGATCATTTCTAATGAAAAAATACACTAGCTTGCAAACAAGGTCAGGTTTTCAATTTAAAGTAAACATCTTATTTACTACACAGAATCACCAAAACAAAGCTTGTTAACAAGAGTGTGACATAGTTGTTGGATCTGGATATATGTTATTACTAATACAGATACTTAAAAGTTTGGCACACTGAACAGTTTCAATTTTTGTACTTCTGAATACATTTGGCTGCTCCTTATGATGAGCAGATAATAGTAAATGTGTGTGTGTGTGTGTTATTTGGATTTTTAACATCACTTTAAAAAAATTTCAGTCATATCACTATGATGTCTGCAGAGTGGCAGTTGATAACGATGTCTAGAACTGGGGCATCATGCCACTGACATGTAGCATTATGTCCCATCCAGTCACATTATTCTGACACCATGCCGACCATTCCTAACACTAACCTCTTAATGCTGAGTGCCTAGTGAGGCAGTTGTCAGTACCATTTTTATAAATCTTTAGTACGACTCAGCCAGGGTTCGAACCCATGACCTACCACATTGGAGTTTTCTCTTCACAATGCTACTGTATTTTTTACTTACATACAGTATTGTGAGGTATCATTACCATAAATGGGTGCTGAAGAATGTTTCAAGGAATTTTGGAATATATATATATATATATATATATATATATATATATATATATATATATATATATATATATATATATATATATATATATATATATATATATACACATACATACATACATACATACACACAGTCGAACATTGATTATCAATCAGGGTATGGGACTGAAACCATAAGGGATATGAGAATAGACAGATAAAAGAATATAGAATATGTACTTTAAAAATACTATACAACAGACCAGGTCATCAAAAAATCAATATTCTGATATACTATGCCTTGACAGTTATCAGAGACTGATGGTTAATAAGGTGACACAATCAAAGTTCTCATGTAATATGAAAAAAGATGAGACTAAAATTGATCCCCGTCATATAATAATGGAAATTTCTATAAAAGTCAGTTTCTCTCCAACTAAAAGCTTGTAATCTACTAACGAGATAGGATAAACCATCACAATAAGTTTTTTCAACATTAGATAATTTATGTGGTAACATTATGATTAACAGTATCAAAATCTTTACTTAGATCTAAGAAGAAAACTGCAGTTAATTTCAAATTATCAATATTCTGTAACCAATGATATAGCAAAGCAATGAATGCTGATTTGGATGAATAGTTTGGATGGATCCCAACTGCAATGAGGTAATTATTTTTATAACAAGTCATAAAATGCACATCTGCCTATCACTATCTCCATAAATAAGGTGGCTAACTTTTTTGCAATCTCCCACAGAAAATATTTGGGCCTATGGGCATATTAAATATGCAAGTCAGTAGTTCAACAATGTAGCCTGTTATTAGTTTTAAGAACTTCACTGGCAATCCATCAAAGTCAGTAGCTTTTGAAATAAATATATTTATAATTTCATTTTCAGAATAATCCTCAGTAATACTGGATATATGAAAGAAAGTTTAGGTTTACATACAGTCGAAAATCAAAGTACCTACCAATATCTAACACTATACTATAGAAATCATTGAAACAATCTGCAACTTTAGTATTTAGTTATTAATGACATCACCATCAACAGTAGGAAAGACAGCACATTAACATCACTTGAATGAAGGCTTGGTTTCATTTGGTGATTTATGGCACAGTAACACATATAGGTTATTTAGTGCTGAGGCAACTGGAGTAAAGTGCCTAGCCCATGGACACACCACACCCATGGATCCAGGCTGGTTTAATAGTAGGTTTTGAATGTATAGCCTTTCAGTCCCGAATAAGCACACCAGCTCTACAGATATTATTCTGAAAGAGTGATGCATTTATGGTTAAGTTGTTTACATTTACAACATGCAAAAGGAGAGAATGTTGGTATACCTCTGTTTCTTTCATGTACTGTGGTAGAAATGATTTTGGATATGTACTTGTGGAAGCTGTACATGATCTAAGCAATCAGCTAAGTAAAATGACTGCTCTATTTTGCTATAAAAATCAGTCTGAATTAGTCTAAAGTACATTATCTTTTGCAGTTATTAAAGAGAAAAGGA